AATTTTCCCATGGAAGAGAAAACTCCCCACCTCGGCCACGGCCATGGATTGATGACGTCATCGCTGAAAAATTTTATTTTGGAATTTTCTCCGTTTTCCTTCGTTTTCCATCGTTTTTGCTCAAAATTTCGTGGTAATCAATCGAAAAAAATTAATTTTATAATTTTTGCGATGTTTTATTGCTTGAGCGAACAGCTTGAGCGAACATTTTTTTTCGATAGAAAATAGCTCATTTTGGGCCAATTTTTGGGATTTTTGAATTTTTGTGTGTAAATCACTAAATTGTGATTGTTTCCTACATCCAATGATCTATTAAATTATGAAAAAAATGAGAAAAAATTCAATTACCACGAAAATTGAGAAAAATTGAGGAAAATTGGGAAAAAACGAAATATTGAGAGGGAAAATTGGGAAAAACCGAGGGAACATTGAGAAACAGAAGAAAATGAAATAGAATTGAGAAGAAAAGCAATTGAGAAGAATTGGTAGAGGAAAGTATCGACTGAGTTTTAAAACATAAATTAAGCATTAAAGTCCGGAGTTGTAATACTTGTCAAGATTGTTTTACAGTACAGTTCTTCGTTGTATGCTTTCCTGAAGTTTCGGGACTCAAAAATTCAAAAAAAAAAACTAATGCCTTTCAGCACAGAACAATTTTCACAATTTTTTTCTTGATGAGTGAAAAATATGACACAAAATCAAATAGAACAATGTGACAATGAGAAGTGAAAATTTTCTGTCGTAATTTTTAAAAATCCAAAAATATTGAGATTCTGAAGTTCTGCGAATTCGAAGTTCTGAAATTCTAACATTCTGAAATTCTCAGACTCTGAAGTTCCGAAATTCTCAGATTCCGAAATACTGAAATTTCAAAGTTCTGAAATTCTAAGAATTCTGAGATTTTCAAGCTCTGAAATTCAGGAATTCAGAAACTCCCTCAAAAAAAAAACTGTACCCCCGAATCACAAGCGTTGTACCCCTGAATGAAATGAGTTGTACCTCCGAATTTTTGGCAGAAATTCTACCCAGTTGACCCTCCGAAATAACACCTTCGATAATCTGCAATTGTGTTTGTTTTCCTCAAAAAACTACGAAAAAGATGTAAAAACAAAAATTCATCATGTTCAGAATCATATACTCAAATTGATCTCAATGACCCCTATGAGACTATCAATGACCCCTGGGAGCATTTGCTCCGATGCCCCCTATGAGACATGGTGGGATGCCCCCTAAGAGACAACTTCAGGATGCCCCCTATGAGTTAGTGACCCCTATGAGTGTATGCCCCCTTTGAGCACGATGCCCCCTATTTCGATGCCCCCTGGGAGTATGGGCCAGTTCGAGCATTTGAAAAAAAAGTTTTGGTTTGTGGAAAAATACCGTATTTGCTTTCACAAAAGCTCATTCGAACCGACAACTTTGAGTTCAATTATTTTGATTTCCGTAGGAGATATAAAAATTTGTCAACTGATAAAATGATCATGATAATATCACCAATTTTCTATCAGTTCACACATTTTTGGTATCTTTCTCAAAAATCGAGATACTTGAGCTCAACGTTGGCGGTTTGGAAGACCTTCTATTAGAGGAAATACAGCAAGAAGTTCCATAAAACCAATTTCGAAATATCCGACCCACCTCACAGACAGCGGTACTGTAACATGCTTATCCGCTTCCATATAGAAACATTGAACCTTCACAGTTTGATCGGTTTTTGTCATGAACAACGAATGAAACATGAATACAATACTCACTTCTACAAAGATTCCCTTTGGATTCAGCTGAAAACAATTCAATTTTTTTAATTCATTAAAAACAACTCACAGATCGATATCGGTGAACATTGCAGGCAGAAAATGGAACAGTCAAGCCGATGCTTCTCGAATCTGGAAACTTCTCAGGGCCGGCTCTACATTCCTCATCGTGGTAGTGATCCATAACAAACACATTACCCTCGAATGGTTGTTTTGTTGAGGCTTTCACACCGATTCTATCAGGACCACAGATGATTTCAGGGGTTCCAGGTCCTAGAGATCTTTTTGTATTATAAAAGGTGAAAAAAGAAACTCACTGAATTCAGTTTTACACATGCTCCAAGTCAGTGAATCAGCCAATGCTCTATCCAGTTGTTCAAATGACTCAACAGTGAAAACGCGGACTGGATTTCCAGTCATTTGATGTAATTGATGAACATTTACAAGATTTGTGACTCCAATCGCATAAACCATAACATCTGCGTCTCTTAATAGTTGAGAAGGTTCGGACACATCGTCTTGGCTCTGTCCATCTGTTATCACTATCGCTACTTTTGGAATTCCAGTTCTTGCTCCTTGTAGACCTTTTTCAAGTGTCAGTCGTAAAGCTTGTCCAGTATTTGTGGCACCACTTTGGTATTCGATTCGTTGGATCGCCCATTCTAACTGAAAAATAGAGTTAGTTAAAAATTTATAGCACTTTCCTGAAACAAACCTGAGTTGGATGGTTAAACTGTCCAAGAGAAAATTCAAGTTTCGGCGTTTCTGCATACTGGATCAATGCCATATGACTTCCCTCTTCAGAAATGTTCAATCGAGAAGCGAGATGCATTGCAAATGAAAGTTGTTTTTTGAATGTGTCATCTCCGATTGATCCTGAAGCATCCAGAAGTAGTATTACTTCTACTGCTTTGTGTGTGACGCATTCTTTAATTATTTGAATTTTGTGATTTTTGGATTATGGAAAACATACCATGAATGAGTTCAGAATCAACGAGTCCGTTATCGATTGGGTTTGCCAAGTGGGTTGGAATTAGAGATAGGAATGTGAAAATCTGGAAAAAATTAGTTCAGAGGAAACTTAGAAAGTGTGGACGTCTATATCCCTCTGACATATTCTACTGTAAGAACAAAAAGGCTGTACGATGAAATCAACTTTTAGGTTTTTAATAATCAGAGTCTAAGTTCCAAAATGGCTTTCAATGAAACAAAAAATTGAGAGCCCGTATCAATTCGAGTGTGCTCACAAAATTTCAGCTTTTCAGAATCATTTTAGGATGAGTTACGCCCGTCCAAATTTTTACGACGCACGCGACGCAACCGCGCTGCGTGGGTCAAATGTTTGGAGGGGTGTAACTCGTTTCAAACTGAAGCTGGCGACATGAAATTTTAGAGGAAACTAAAAATAATCATTTTAACAAGCTGAAGAATACTTGAGTGTTATTTAGTCCACAATTCGAAAGTTAGGGCAGCGGATTTCCAAAAGTTGTAACTTGACTCATATTGTTCGTAGGGTTTTGAAACACCGGATGATGTGTTACTGATAATGCATTTTTGAAAACAAGTTTTTGGATGATGCGCTCCAATTGCAGGTGCTCTTAACTTAAAGGTGCCAGAAATTACCGTAAAACCTTTCATATAAGAACCCCACACTGTCAACTTACTTGTTAGAGCTAATCCTTCTTGGTTCTAATGCAAGGTATCAAAAAATGTCAACTGATAAATTGTATTTGATATTATGACAAAAAATTTATCAATTGATATCTTGCCCATTTTATTGACAGGAACAGTGATGCATTAGATCAAAGTTGAAAGTTAGAGAGCCATTCTATTGCAGGTTTTACGGTATAAGATTATCAGCGAGATTTGTCGTTACATAATGAACATGTCATTTTTTATTTAAAACGAGCCACAGGTGAACAGGTAATTTGAGATTCCAGAAAAAAAAACCAACCGGTATAATGAAGTCATAGCGTGGGATCGGTCTCATCTCATCTCGCAGAGGAGAGAGTTTCTGAAAAATTGAAATCGACGAAAGGCAGAAATTTTCGGATTCGAAATCTTTTTCTCTTGAGCGAGTGATCATTAATTCGTTAGCTGACAAGGAAGGAGGAAAAAGTGAAAACAAGGCGAATTAAAATTTTGAAACGGGGGAAGATAAAGAAGTGATGGGATGAAAAGTGAACGGATATGACAAGGGGATGCTTCATCAGCAGCTTCTGGAGGAGAAGAGGACAATCAATCAATAAAACTCGGAAACCAGAAGACGGAGGGAAAACAGGAAAGGGGTGATAAAGTAAGTAATAGTTAGGGGGATACAGTGATAATGGCCTAGTTAAGCAGAGAAAAACTGAACAAGTTTAGTAAACAGATACCAACTGGTCAGAAGACGTTCCGAGAGATTTTTAGGAGACGTTAAGTGTTGGCACTTGCCACGTCATGCGATCCTAAAGAATAAGTCTTTAATGAAAAAGTCATTGACCCGCATTTGTTTGGAATACAATAAAAGAAGAAAAATGGAAGACAAAAAGAAAGTGAAAAATGTATTGGGAGGGGGAGGAATGATAGAAAAAGGAATTGGGAATTCTCATTAAGAAGAAAACAAGAGACACAAGATATTAAATGATATATAATATCAGTCTTCTTTCGGGACATTTGCGCTATCCAGATTTATGTAAATGATATAGATCTCCAAATGGTATGAAGAATAGAAGAAGCAGGAGAGATTCTCTTGGATGGAAGACGGCCTATCATCTCTAATGATAACAACTGAATGCGTTTTCCACTTCTTTTCGAGAATTGATTGTTGGAAGAAGAAGAAGCTAAATCTCGGATGCCAATGATCTCATATCACTATAGTTTGTACACTAGTTTGCGGGGATGGGGATTTCGTAACTTTTCCGATGATTTCTAATTATTTGTGTTCTTTGATTCTCGGAATATCCTGTATGAATATCTTGATTTCTTTGAGTTTGTAGAGAAATACAGGAGATGCTGAAAATTCCAATGTCTGAAATATCAAGAGAAACGAGAGGATATGGTATAGCGTAAAACCTGTATTAGAAGGGCCCTTTTAATATAAGCAGGGGTCTTCGGAACGAAGTTCGTAATTCCAAAAATTCCGACCAGATTTTAGGACTACGGTATACAGTGCGTTGCAGGTTCTTACGTCCACCTATGTTTAGGGTCATAACTTGAGAGTTGTTAGAGGCATTAGCTTAATTATTTGAAAATCGGATTCAGGACAACAAGTAATTATTTGAAAATCGGATTCAGGACAACAAGTAAAAGTCTGAAAATCTGTCTGAAAAAGTCTGAAAAAAAAGTCTGAAAATATACCTTTCGCAACCGTTGCAAGTTTATACGTTCACTCCAAAGATCACCTCCAGCGAAAACGGAGGTGTCCAATTTTGATTCTTCCCTCTTGGAATCAAGATTGGAAAAGAGAAAAATGAAATGGAAGATGTAAAAAATTTATTGAAAAAAAATAATTTCAAATATAGCTATTCCTAAACATATCAACAAAAATTATGAAAAATAACAAGTTTCAAAGTGTACTGATTAGCCAGACTTTCGTCTGTTGATCCCTTTCGCCACGTAGAGGCTCAGTACATGAAAGAGAAAATGGGTTTTCACTGGGGGAAAACACCAACACAAAACCCCTGTCTCCGAGGAGACAGTTTTCTAATTTTCAATAGTTCTTTTTCACTGCTAAAAAGCTATACGATCGCTATTTATTGTCTAGTTCATTTGTTTCTTTTTTTCTTTGATTGGGTCTTTTGCAAAAGGGGGACGTTCAGTGAAAATGAATTCACCTAGCCATGAACCACCAAACATGGCGACCCTTAGGGTCTTTTATAACTTTTTTTGCATCCGACCAATCGAAAGCAAAAAGCAAATGAAACAATAAACAGCTTACACAGGGAGCTTCAGGGCAGTCAAAAAGTGCGAGTGAAAATTATCAAACTAATTCAAAAAGTGGGATTTCCCAAAAGACTGTTTTTGAATACGTGGAATTTTTTCAACGTGGATAGAGGTAGGGAGCGTGACCTAATATTGATTGATTCAGAGGTTTATTGCGTAACGTGTAAAAAGTTTAAAAAACTCGAAAATTGGAAGTAGATTTACGTAACCCATTAAAAAATGAAAAAATTAAGGACGAACGAGTAAAAACTAGGTTGAATCGAGCCGAAGGCGCACAATCTGTTGTCTTATTTATTGGGCAATTATCTCGGTTCCTATAAAACATACTTTTTTTGTCAGCTAATCAACTAATTTTGTCAACTAATAAAATGCTAGTTGGCATAAACGGTGATAAATTTACTTTTTTAGAATGAAGAACATTCATGCTAAGGTTATTTTGGTAGATCATGTTAAACTTCAACACCTTCCCCCAGTTGGATACGATGCACTTTTGAAAGAAGTTGAGACTACTTTGTGATCGTCGATAAGTGTCGGAACTGGGACCATGATTGCTCTTTTGATGCCTGGATCATTTTTGAGACATCTCTAACCCGTCCACTAGATGGCTGCAAGTTTCAGCTCCTGGTTGATACCATTACAAAACTACAAAGAGTTTAAAACGACAGTACTGGTAGAGGGTTGAGATCTTGAGGGCAGGATTTGGGTCTTGTTTGTTTTCTTCATTCATTTTCGGATGAGAAAACAGTCGATATGACAGTGTGAATGATTTATTTGCTTTCTGATAGCTTTTTGGTCCATGCAGCTGCTCCAACTGCCCCGATTGAAGCTTTTCCAGCATCAGTCGGCAAAAGATCCCATGACATGATACAAACTCAAAGAAAGAGAAACACGTAATGAAAACAACTTTCTAATTGATTTTAGTTGTGCAGAATCAAAATTGGAGACCTCCGTCTTCGCTGGAGGTCGTGATCTACTGATCTTTGGAGTGGGTGTAAAAACTTGAAACGGTGGCAAAACGCTTATTTTCAGACTTTTCCAGACAACTCGGGTAGTTTTCAAAGTTTCATTACAAAAATTGTCCACTAGATTTAATTTGTTGTCTCGAATCCGATTTTCAAAAAGTTAGGCTAATGCCTCTAACAACTCTCAAGTTATGACCCTAAACATAGGTGGACGTAAGAACCTGCAACGCACTGCGGGTCTTGAGGAGAATAAAGGTTTAGGATTTTTCAAGCGTTTTCGAAATCTGTCAGCAATTTTTCGCCGATTTCTGGTGCTTTTGTGTTGGGAAAATGATGTTTCTATTTATATATGAATGGGGAAAAATTCAGGCATTTTAAAACTAAAAAAAAAACGACATTCCGAAAATTGTCGAAAAGGTCATTCAGAACATCAGTGAATATAAAGACCCTCTTATAAAAGGGCACCCGAGAGGGATCGAAAAAATAGAAGGGTTCCTCTAATAGAAGGGACCTTATAATACAGGTTTTACGGTAAATGCATCCTTCCCATCGGTCCAAAAACATATTCTAATGCTGGAAAAATTCACAATTTCTGTTTTTTTCTCGAAGTTCAATTGTTATTTCTAGTATATCATTTCATGAAATACATATTTATTCAGAGAAAGTCGAAAACTCATCACAATAATACATATAAAACTACACGAGATCATTGGTCATAACTCAATTGATCGGGAGGAAAACGATCGGGAAAACGGGAAAGAAGAGAAGAGGGCAGGCATTTTTACAAGTAACAGTTTTTAGAAGAAAAAAAAACGGATTGGCAGTGTGTGTACAAATAACATGTCTATTTTTGAGAAATGACTAGGATCTTCTAACCATGGCGGACTTTTTTGGTGGCATCAATCTCTTGCTTCTTGACTTTTTTGATCTTATTTGTCACTTCAGACATGAGAGAATCCGAGATGGATTCACGAAGATTTTGGGAAACTGGGATTGGAATTATCTGAAATTGAAGGAATGATTCATATGCTAGAAGTCATATTTAGTCTTTACCTTTCCATTCTTGAAGCATTGAGATTCTCTCGCCAACTCGCATTTTCCACAGCTGTGTCTGCAGTTCTCTGACATGAAATCAGCTGATTTTCCAGAGCACATCTTATCTGCCTTCCAAGCTACACAGTTAACATGTCTATCAGCACATGAATCAGTGGTATTGTAGGATGGAGTGCATGCATTACAGCTGGCTTGACAGTACTGACTCATGAATTCTGGTTCCCGTTGGCAACCTCCATTCTTTGACCAGGCATCACAGCATGGCATGCGGTTGTAGCAATCAACGAAAAGTGGGGCTGTCATCTTGACGGAAATTCTCTTGACAAGTGGAACACGCTCGACTTTGGTTCCGTTGAAGGTCACTTGGGCGGCTAGTTCGAGATCCAAGGTGGAGTTTGAGTGGATACGAGCTCCCTTCATGCGAGCAGCAGCAAAGTTCTGGAATTTTTCAGTTGAAACCTGTATTTGTTTGTCATCAACTTACAGCATTGACACATCGTCCCCACCAGCATCTAGAGGCGTAACAAGCATCGGCCTGCTCGAATCCACGGCAATTTCCATTCAATCGAATCTTGGAGACACAATGTGGATATCCTCTAGTATCACAGAACAAGTATGGTGATCCGCAGTTTGGTCTCTGATGAGAGCATGTGGCACGTGGAGCATAACGGTACATTTGGTCAGTGTATGAGTTGGAGAGTCCGTCTCTGTTCACCAAATATGGGAAAGGTCTCATTGGAGCGTAACTGAAGTGTTGCCAATTGGCGCATGTTGGATGATCGGCAGAGTAGGCTTGCTCGCGGAGCCATCTTGGTTGTTGGAGTTGACGCCAGAGTTCCCAGAGATAGTCGACAAAGGAGTGATGCATGAAGAAGATTGGCTCGTTGGCAGAAGTGCTTGGTGGTTTCATGTCTCCTCCGATCCAAAGATGGATGTTCGAGTGAGAGTACTCAATGGCTCCATAGTTATTTGGATATGGGCAACCTGGAATTTCAATTTTCTAGTCCCGTACACATCAAACCAAGTGTAATGGTCATTTCATACACAAATTTACAACACAATCAACATTTTTCTTTTCCCAAACGAACTGGTTTGTGTCCATCGGAACAAAAGAATTGAGACATTTTTGAAGACCTCCATTTCCTTTCTTTTTATCAAAAATGTTGATAACTGTGTTAACAAGAAGACAACTATTGTCTCAGTACTTCAAATTCTGTGACATGTCTAGACAAAAACCGTTACCTGGTTGTGGTGCAGTGTAGGCCAAAGTGTTTTCGATTGTATTTTGAGCGACGATGGTGTTAACTTGATTCTCATTGAACAGTTGTCCCTCAGCTCCCAGGTTTCTCAAAATCGTGGATCTTCCCTCAATAGTTCTCCAATAGGCGAATGGTCCAGTGACGACGTTTCCGTAGTAGTCAGTTCCTCCGACAAACAAATCCGAGAACAATATGGAATCTCTTGGATCAGGAAGATAAGAATCCATAACAGAGTCCCAGTATGGAATGAACACAAGTGGGTCAACCATACGAAGAGCAATCTCGAATCTCTTGAGATATTCTCTATGCCATGGGAGGAATCCTGGTCCAGAGTGAGCACCAGATCCGACTCCAACTTCCAAATGCTGACGCGACAAACGATCGTACTCTCCGTTTCTTTTCAAAGTGTTCAAAGCGTTGTGCCATCTGGCTCTCTCGGCTTCAGACATCATACGGTACTCCTTTCTCCACGACATTTGCAACACAACACCATTTGACAAAACGCATTGTCCGTTTACGTTTCTACCCTGCAAAGATAGTTTGAAACTATTTTTTGAGAGAGAATGAGAGAATCAGACAGTAATAGGATTTTGAAGACACACAGAACATGGCCTTGGGACTGTTCAGAAAAAAAAACTACTTTTTTGTGTTTGTTTTTGAATAGTGGGTTCAAAAGAAGGCGGATAATCCCTCAAAGTATTTGACCAACTCTTTTGGTTTCTTGGACCAAGAAGTGTGTATCCCCAAAAAAAATGACTCACATTGAAGAATGGGCACAGACAGAGAAGAGTCATACAATCGTATGGGTGATAAGCGGCTTGTCCACGAGCATTTGCTGGTACTGGAATTGGTTGGAGCCAGTTTGGAACTTGATTTGGGCGGGTTTGACGGACGGATTGGCGGGCCAAACGACGGCGGGTGGCAAGGTCCATACGACGAATCTGGAAGATTGATTTCTTACTATAAATAAAAAGCTTAGTGGGCATAACTTTGGAACTAGACTCGAAACCTATTAACCTGAATCTCAGATACCAGTTTCAGAAAAAAAAGATAGAGATCTTGAACTCACCATCAAACAAGTCTGCTTCAAATGTTTTGGAGCATCTGAGCAATCTCTTGGTGGCTCTCTCCATCTCTTTTGATTCAATCGTTGAATATTCTTATTTGGAATCGCAACTCTTTTTCCTCCTGCTGGCCGTTTCACAGCAGTCCCTCCGACCAAATGTCCTCCTTTCTTCGTCGTTGATTTCGCACCGAAAACACAAATTATCGCTGTTGCGCATAATAAGAGCGTCAAAATTGCTGTCCACCGCATGGCTGAAAAAAAGAATTCCAGATTTTTTTCCTAGTTTTCACTTTTATGTTTCAGCAAAAAAAAATTGCAAAAAGGAACAACAGAACAACATGACAACTGGGGGAGAAGAGAAGAAAAACATGGTAAAAAGTGAGAAATGAGTTCCCTTTTATTTCCTAGTTTTAGTTTTTTTTTTTTTGTATTCCAGAGAAAAGAAAGACATTTTCAGCAATTTTTAGAAATGAGTCAAGAGAAAATATACATGAAAAGTATGTGAGAAGCTATTGTAAACGTGATATTCTCTGTTATGAATTTTATGACTTTCAGAAGGTGTCAAGAATCAGACGGGTCATCTGGAGACTCCTCAACCTTGATTCCCGATTAGTAAGCTTCGAAGAATGGAAAGGATCTAAAAATAGGCAGAGACACTTCTCACATCATACAGAAGCTGAGAAGAGTATTAAGAGTGACCTCTTGTCACATACTCAATTTCAGAGAATGGAGGTGGAGAATCAGAAGGACACGAACTGGTATTTCTCGAGAAAGAGAGAGAGACCATCGCCACCATTGTAAACTCATGGCCTTTAACATGCCAAGAAGACGTCGGGAGGCGAGAAGGAGGGAAATGGGCGGTGCCAAAAAAAAAAGAAAAACTGTTGACCTTTCCCTCCAAGAGGTGCCAGATTACAATCGAAACGGTTTTTAGGAGGAGGGCGAGAACTTGAAAAACTTGTAAAATTTTCCCAAATTATCGGTGTTTACTCGTTTTGGGCAGGGAAAGACGGAGATAAAACCAACTAACTACTGCGAAGTTTGTTTGGCGAAAATGAGAAAACTGTTTTTTAGGAAACCTGAGAATCTAATTGAGAAAAAAAACTGTAAACAAGAATGCCGAAATGATATGGGAGAGAGATAGAGGAACAGGTGATTATGTACTGTAAGAGGAAAAAGAGAAGTCACACACTCCTCTTTGAACCTTGCAGAAAAAATATAAGAAGGTTATCAGAGGTTTTGGAGATTTTTCAGGTTTTCTGATCATAAAAATGGAACAGTTACATTCAAATGAAAAAAGAGTTTTTTTTGAAAGTTATCCAAGTCCTTAATAGATTTGAACACCTCCTACTGTAAGCACTCTGATAGAACGCCACTCTTAACTTTCCACTTTGAGCCAATATCAAAAAGTGATTTACTGATAAAATTTTGCTGATATTATGATAAACATTTTGTTAGTTAATTACTTTTTGATATCTGTTACAGGAAATGAGATAAATAATCTCAGTTGACGGTTTGGGTGGCGTTCTATTAGGCAGTATTTAGGTCAAAGTCACTGGAATTTCAGTAAACCTAAAATCTTACGTAACACTTGTAAAACAACCTACTGTAAGATAAACACTCTAAATTTTCGTCTCTTCAGAAACTAAACATGTTCAAGTTGCTACATTAAGAAATCTTATAAATCCAAAAGTTTTTAGACCTTTCGTTAAATAAAACTCAAAATGTACGGTAATGTGCTGGTTCTAATGAAAGGGTTCTCATAAAAAAATAAATTTCAAGACCGGTTCAATATGATTCTCAAAAGTTTAAAATGATCAAGATCAAACCAAAAAAAAATTCAGACAACACTTTACAAAAATGTTCAAAAACTTAGGACGATCAGTGGTCAGCAGGCAGGCAAATAGTGACTTCTAGAAGTTCCAACAAAACCGGAACCCCTATCGAGAAGCAGTAAAACAAAACCCAAATGAAGCCATTTTCAGAGAGGGAATGAGTAACCCCAGTGACCCGTGTCCGTGCTTTTATAGTGTCCACCTCTCGATGCTTCGTTGAATTGGTACGTGCCTGTTGGCTACTACAACCTCTCTCTCTCGCCTCTCCTCCTACTTTTTCATGTATTACAACAAACACCTTCTTCTACTTCTTCTTCTTGTTCTTCTTCTAGCCGCCGTTGGCCTCCGGCCGGCCATTGTCTTCTTGATGGTGACCCCAGAAGTAAATGAAAAAAAAAGAAGCTTCAACTTGTAATGTGAAAAAATGTATGTGTCTTGATGATGAAATTGTAATTTGATGAATACCAAAAGTGACCGGGACTGTTGGGAACCAAAAATCTGGAACTGGACTTTGTAGTCAATTTGGGTTTCTTGTAGGAATCCAGAAGTCGAAAATGGATGGGAAAAAGGAAATCCGCAGGTTTTCAGGTTCTGAAAATCGAATAAATTAATTCTTCCTCCAAATAGTAAGGAGAAATAAATTTCAGATGCCGAAACTGAAACTCCAGTTGTACAAAGATGCTTAAAACTTTCAGAAGATTTTTGCCCAAGATTAAGCCATCGAAAAATCATGCAAGGTTTTTTTTAAAATACTCTGAAAGCATTTTGAGGTTTCAAAAAAAAAACTGGAAAATGTTATTGAAGTTTACGAAACAATCTGTTTGAACAATTATAAGTGTTTGAAATACCATATTTCCTCTAATAGATGTCCACCTAAACCATCAACTTTGAGCCCATATATCTCGTGTCCTTTAAAATCTATCGAAAAGTGCTTAACTAACAAAATGTTTATCATGTTATCATAAATACTTTATTTGTTGACCACTTTTGGATATCTTTCACAGAAACCAGGATAATTGAGCTCGAAGTTGAAAATTAGAAGGATCATTCTATTTGAGTGTTTACGGTAAATGTGCTCAATTGGATATTTCGAATTCTTGGGTTTTTGATATCGTTAATTTTTTTCGTCAAACTTCTTTTTTTTTCCAAATGTTTTAAAAAATCCATATGTTCTTTGGTACTGTAACCATGTTCCTTCATTAATACTTTCGTAATATGTTTTAAACTCTTGAACTGTATATTTCCATCTTTGTTTTCTTCTAGAATCACTCGATTCTTGGTTTCTTCTTTTCTCCAAAAAAACCGCGTAATAACAATTTGAACATGTCCATTTTCTTCAACTTTTCCTCTCTTTTTCTTTCCCATTAAAATTCATTTTATTGAGCTGTTTCAACCTGAAAGTGTATTGTGGTAAAGTCAAAGTTTCATGGCCTCTAGTAACTGTGTCCTCATCGTTTTCGGGATGGTTCTTTCTCGAACCAAAACGTACCGAAACAAAAAACAAAACAACGAAAATTCCTTTCGAAAATTTCTTCCAATTCAAGTGGAATCGGAAGAAAAAAGAAGGAGAAAAAAGGTGTGAAACGGACGGTCAGTTATTAGAAAACAGTAAAAAAGGTGTTTGATTCTTGAACCGTTTGTTTTTCGATTAGAATAAAAAAGAATGAAACAATCAGAGGGGGAAAGTGGTGTTGAAATTTGTTTGGGAGAGGAATTAGGAAGAAAAAACAGTTGTAATTTTTGTATTCTGAAAGTTGATTGAATATTCCGAAAAGGTGTTGACTAATTTGAAATTGAGTAACTTCCTTCATTCACCAAAGTGAGAGATTGCTTTTTCACGTTTTCAGGGTTACTGTATAATTCCAAAACTTCGCATTTTTTTCTGTAAAAGAAATTAAACACTCTGATAGGTGGTCGCCCTATACTTGCACTTTGAGCTAAATTATCTCGGTTCCTATAAATAATATCAAGAAGTGGTCAACTGACAAAAATTTTATCATAACATCAGAAATATTTTATCAGTTGACTGCTTATTGATATCTTCTACAGGAACCGAGATATACGGGCTGGAAGTTAAAGTATAGGATTGCCTTCTATTAGAGTGTTTACTGTATTCCCTGTATCTTCAAAAAACAAGTTTCTCGAATAAAAAATCATTTTCCAATTTTACAGTATTTTTTTGTTTTTAGGTTCTTTCTGCTTTTCTATGATGTCATCTGCGGTGAAAGCTGTAGCAGAACAATCCCTTCTGTTCTATATTCCTCCCAAAAACAAAACATTATACAACATCAGAATTAGAGACTTGTCAGGTTTGTTCCAGAGATGTAGAAATGATATTTTTGAAACTTTTGGGAATGTCGAAAATGCCGATTTTCGAAATTTCGGAATTTCGGAATCGTTGACATTTTCAAACATTCGAATTTTTAAGTATTTTAAGTTCATTTTTTGACAAAAAGGATTATTAGAAAACACGAAAAAATTGAAAGTGATTCCGCTCGAAACCCAAAAAGAAAATTTTCGCCTGTACCTGTGACATGTCGTAGTCCAGAAAGCTGTAATTCCAAAAACAAAAAGGAAATATTTCGATCGGGATCCCGAAATCCATTCCGAACATCTCTGTGTTTATATTTTTCAAGGTTAAATTTTTTCAGATGTTTACCGTTGTAGAACAAATCCGTGCCTCTCCAAGTGATAGTGAGAGTTCCGGTGAAACTGAATCTTAATCTCTGCAAATTCGGACAAATCGCATCAAGCCTTAAAGTACTTCCGTGGTTTTTTAAATATTTTTTTCTTATAAGGATTTTCCAATTTCCTTCTGCGAGCCCCAACCATTCTCTCGGCTTATGCCACCTGAAAACCAGTTTTTGTACAACTTCTTATAAATATTATCAACTTTTGCCAGTGTAATTTTGAAACATATTGTTTGACCTATACTATAGTCTCAATCAAAAATTCAAACAACTTCCCATTGTTCTCTCTCAAGATGACCAACGGGGATAACCGTTTTCTGAACACAAAGGATGACTTTTTGTTTCGAGCCATCAATCGTTTTTGTTTCTCTAGAAGTCATCTTCTGAACTTCAATCGTTCCTTCTTTTGTTCTGAATGTTCTTTAATTTTTACACATCTTTTCTCATTTTAGGGATAAAATGTGATACGGAACCGAACGCGCCTCTACTGAAGCAGAAACAGAAACAGAAGGGTGACAAAACTAAGAAATCAGAAAAAAAATGACAAGACAAAAGAAGAAGAAGAGGAGATCGAGCCTATTGTGATTGATCGAAATCTGTGAAAACAGAAGTTAAAAGAAGTAATTTCAAGGTGACGCACACTCTCTTCCTCTCGGCCATTGTCCATTGCACGCAAATTACGAGAAAAGGAGAATTCCATTGTCAAAGAAACCACAGTGTAATACGATTTTTTCGGCATGTGTCCACCTGAAAAGAGAGGTGACGGGTAGAGGAAGAGGAAGAAGAACAATGGGCAGAAGCAGAAAAAGAAGGAGAGACTCAGAATTTTTGCAGTTTTTTGGGTAATTGGACTAGCGATGACAACTTGGTATTGTTTGATTTTCACTGCGAATTTCACCTCCAAGGTCTTCTGAAATTGAACATAATGTTTCCATTTTTGGAAAAAGAAAAGTTAGAAGAAGAAAACGGAAAGGAGGAAGCTGAGTGCAGAAATGGAAAGATGAAGGAGCATTGAGATCATTGAGTCTGAAATTGGCAAGGGTTCTAGAAAGAGTGGGGAACATGAAAAAAGACAACTGTCTCGAAATTGGCTTCGCGTCACTTCGAAACCAGTCATTTCGAAACCCTGGTAATGCAGACGAATGTATAAATTCCAGACTGAATAGATGGTTTCAGGATTTTCAAATATGCTTTTTCTGATAGAACACATTTTGAAACTCGGTATGTTCATTCAAACAAAATTTTGAAAAATTTGGATTTTGAATTTTTTTCCTCCTTTTTTGATTCCCCACAGTTTTTTTTTATTATTTTCGAATATGTTCCCCAACAGTAATCCTTTTCATTTTGCAAATGTTGTCCTATACAGTAATCACCTACATTTTATAATATTTTCCGCTACAGTAATCTTTTTCCTTTTATTAATAATTTTCCCTAAAGTTTCTCTTTGTTTTGTCTTCTTTCCTGAAAAAAAAATTAGAAGCCGGGTTTTCGTCACAACTATTTAGTAAGAAATAACTGTTGTCAAGAGCTATTTTACCTAGAAATAATTCTCTGAAAAATTCTGAGGAATTTTGATTTTTCTGTAATCCTTACCCATCTATTAGCAAAAGTGATGGAAAGTCAAACTGGATTACAAGTTCCAGTGTAGGAGTCAATCGGAAACGATAACGAGTTGGGTCCGTTAAGTAGTTGAAATCGCCGGTGTCGACTGTAAGGTTAAAATTTTTCTGATTGTATCCTGATATTGTCGAATTAAAAAAAGTGGGACCTGAGAATTTGAAAGGCGTCGCTTTTTTGATCTACGAAAAAGTGCGCCAAAAACGTAATATTTCAGACTTTTGGCTCGTTCGAACTGCTTTCGCAATTAAGTACGGTTTTTCGATGAAAAACAGATTCTAGAGATGCTAGCGATCATTTTCATACCAAGAAATCTAAATTTTGTTCAGAAAATCCCATTGAATTCATAGAAATAAGTTTCGTTTACTACTGTAGTTATTTTGAGGCAAGGCCTCGAAAATTGACCGGGAAGCCGCCCGAGAAATTTTCCAGGTCCCACTTTTTTTAATTCGACAATAAACATTTGAACTAGGATTTGAAGTTTCTGGATAGTACGCTTTGCCAATTTTATTAAGCGCACTGTGTGAATTGTTTGTTGTCCCCACGGGGACTGGGCCGAGCCCGGCAGCAGTGCAACTTCGGGACGACCCTTGGAAAGTCGGAGCAAGCCCCGAGTCTTTCCTAGGTTCCAAAAATCATATAACCTTTATTACACTCATTCGAGTGTATACCGTAGGTTAATACGATAAGAACAGATACTACACTTTGATCTTAGCTAATAAGCCGAAGAAGCGATGAAGAGACGGCGAAGCGACGGGTGTAGGGAAAACGCGTGTACCGACAAAAACTGGGCTCGCGCCGGTCACTATACCAATGTGGTTAAGGAGAAGACTCATGCCTTTCCCTCTACGAAAATACTCAAAAAAAAAGTTTTTTTAAAAATTCGTTTTATTGACAGTCTGGCAATCAAGAAAAATCATTTATACTCTTTCTCCATTCGCTCCAAATATGACTTTGCGTCCTCTGGAATTGCTGCTTTCAAGTCTCCACCACACATATAACAGTTCTCATTTAGAATCGAAAGTTTACGAAATTCGGAATAAAATCCCGGCATTTCACAGTGTGGACATCTCGAGAAGTCTTCGGTTACAATGTGACGTCCCTGACATTTTTTTAAAATTTGAATAAGTGGAACCAAAAGAAACTGATACCGTCAGAATGCAATATGGCACAAGACTTTTGCAATTATCACAACTCATTGCATAATCTGGCATTGGAGCATCACATACGGGACATGGAGAGCTTTCTTCTGGAATGTCTTTCTGATTTCCTCCCTTTCTCACAAGATCCTCAATTTTCTTTCTGTATTTCTCATGAATTTTGGGGCGGAGCTCTGCACTCATTAATTGGGAGGCATATTTGTGAGCAGACTTTTTAAGATTCGCTTGCAGACAGATCATAACAGCGCTGGTCAGGATCTGGGCGGTGTCTGCAAAGATTTTAAGATTGAAGAGACAGAAAATCAAAAAACTTACGAGATGCAAATCTCTGAAGCTCTCCACAAGTTCTAACCATCAATCGAGCAGCCAATAAGTATTCTTTTCGAGGCATCAATTGTTTCACAATGAGATAAGAATGAATCATCATCATGCTCTTATTCATATCCAATGGAATTCTCATCATTTTTGCTCTCAGTTGTTGATGCATTTGGAAAAGAAGGTCTCTTGCCTTCCTATACGATCCTTTGGATTGATGAATCTGAGCAACCACAACAGCCGTTTTTGCAGCATCTTGAGTCTTTCCTAGTCCCACATACAAACGGAACAATTCAGCAGGATCTTTTGGATTTCCGTCTTCACCCAATAAAAACTTAATAAGTTTGTTCGTCAATTGAACATCCTTTGATTTGATTCCACAGTCAACAGCCAATGCAACACACTCTTCATCATCTCCATTTTTGAAAAGAAGATTCATTGCTGAAGAATAATGTCCAGCTTGGGTATAGAACTTTGCAGCCATGTAGATATCATTCAACTTGTTATAGTACTCAGCAAGTTCCAGCGATTGACCCAGATTTCCGTGTTTCTCAATTGCATTCGCGTATTCTTTAAGGGCATTGTTTTTCTCAGCAAGTTCAAATGCTTCTTGAACACATTGAGACATTACAAGAAACTGGATTGCAGAATTATGATCTCCGAGTTTTACGAAAAACTTTGCAACTAATTTCGCTCCTTCGATACTTCTACTTTCTCTAACAACGCGAACAGCTTCATCCGGTTCATTTAAAGGATCCAGAAGAAGACGAACTTGATTATCATAGTCCCGTCCTCTTTCGTAGCACTGGAATACATGTATTTTTAGGTACCAAATAAGAATAGACCTACTTGAACAGCCACTTTATATTTCTTCTCCTTCTCCATGATCTTTCCATATTGAATATGTATTTTTGGACTTTTCACTTTTTCCAAAAGTTCTCCAACTTTAGCCCAAGCGTTTGCTTTCAGACAGACTGCAGCTGCACGATCGTAGAAAAGACCGACTTCGTAGAGTTGAGCAGCTTCTGTGAATTGCTGAAATTTCGAAAAAAAGTGTGATGAGGTAATATCATTGCTGATTACCTTCATTTGCTCCAAAATAATTGCACAATCTCTCTTGACAACTCTTCCTTCCAATTGTTTTGCCAACTGAACTCCTCTTCTCAAGTCTCCTGTTTTTATAGCCATTCTTGCAATTCCAGACTGACAAATCTCGTTGTGTTCTTGAAGTTCAGGAGTGTTATTTGCATTATCCACAACCCCTTTTTCATAGTTCGCTAGAGCATTTGCATGGTCTCCACTGAAAAATTATTGGTTTACTGTAGGGATTACTGTAGAAAATTGATTTAAAAATATTACGTCAATTCCAGCTCCTGTGCATATTCTTTGGACAGAAATGGTATTTCTTTAGGATCCATCGTTTCAGCTAGAACCAAGGCTTTTGGCCACTCCAGAAGGTCACGACGCATCTGGAAATGTTTTGGATTGCAAGATGTAGTGGTTCAAGCCCTAATGCGTTTACAGTTTTAATCGTGGTGAAAAATTAAACAGAATTTGGGAACCAAACTTTCCAGAACTAATTTTTCAAGGATGTAATATTTATCTCAATGTCTCATTTTGGAAATGTTGAACTTTTGTTCCCGTAAAACCTGTATTAGAAGGGCCGTTTTCTATGGTTCTAATTTACCTCCGGAGGGTTCCTTCAACTAGAGGGGGTTCTTCTTTTTTTCCGGTTATTTTTTGGCAAATAATTCGGAGGGTAAAAAAATTTAGGGGTCATTAGAGTACAAAGTATTTCAGGGGTACGAAATCCTCAATTCGGGTGTACAAAACACCTGGAAAAACCGCATTTCGTACCCGAACGGTGGATTTTGTACCGCTGAATTTCTTTGTACCCCCTTGTACCCCTGAATTGTTTTACCCTTCGAATCATGTGTCTCACTTTTTTCCCAAAAATTTTCTTTTAGAAACTTCGATGAATATTCGTTCAAAATTTATGAAAATCTATCAATTTCACCAAAGTAGAGTACATTTTGAGCGAAAACAGTGTCTCAAATTCTGGTATATTTTTCACTGGAGACTAATTTTAAATTTCAAACAACCCTATGTTACAGGGGCCCTTCTCGGAACACCCTTCTAATAGAAGAGATCTTCCATCAAAGCGACCCTTCTAATACAGGTGTTACGGTATGCATAAGTTTTACTCATGAAATCAAGATTCGTTATTTTCTACTCTCCCCTTACATTCAGAGCTTCAATGGGTCTGGACGAGTCTAAATACATTTGCTCCGCCTCATCATATCTTCCCAAGATTGTATAAATCTGAGCATGAAGCAGATTCTTCTCCTCAATCGCTTCAATCTGTTCCAGAGCCATCACCATTGCCGCATCTCCGATTTCCCGGAAAATTCGAATAGCTGAAAATAAAATCATTACTTATTCCAGGTGTTTTTTGTCATCTATCAGTTATCACATGTATACAGAGTATTACCGAGAAATGAGTCATAATTCTCTCGCTTTTTGGGTATCAACCAATCAATTTTAGTTCACTCTCTCTTATCAGTTTTCTCTATTCAATTTTGTACACGATGCACGGTTTTTCGTTTTTGAGCAGTGTCGTCGTTTTTAAAAACTGGACACAGAAAACATCGATTTTTATTTATTGGTTCTTCAAAAACTGTTTTTTTGTCAATATTTTCGCTTTTCTATCCTATTTTTAAGATATGATTTCAGTCTTTTTTAAAATCTATGTCAAAACCTTCTTAAAAATTTTTTGAAGTATCAATTCAACTGTTTCGAAATCATGACCGGAAGAGCAAAATGTGCGATGTCATGAATTAAAAAAAAAATCGAAAGTTGAAAGCAATAAACAGACCTTTTTGTTTTCAAGTTTCAGAGTTTTGAAATCACATTTTTTCCTATTCTTAGCAGAATTTTTAAAAATTGCTCCATGAAAAGTTTTGAAATTTTTTTTTGAATTCAATATCAATTTTCTATGAATCAGCAAACCCAAATGTACATTTTGTTAATTTTTAGCAGATTTTGAGTTCCAAAAAAGTTTGATTTTCATAAATAATGTTAGTGAATCGAATGAGCAACTTTAGATATCAAATAGAGGGGCCTTAATATACAGTATTCCCCTCAACCCGAACCGCCAACTTTAAACCCATATCCAATTCTCTGTAAAAGTTATCAATAAGTAGTCAACTGACAAAATGTTTATCATAACATTAGTAATATTTAGTCAGTTGACCATCTTTTGATATATTTTTTAGGAACCGAGATAATTGAGTTCAAAGTGCAAGTATAGCGCGGGCTTCCATTAAAACTTACTAATGGAAGCCCACGCTATGCATTCATTTTAAGCGTAATTATCTCGATTTCTGTGAAAGCCATTAAAATTTTGCCAACTAATAAAATATTTATCATAATATCACCAGTAATTTATCAGTTGACATAATTTTCATATCTTTTACAGGAATCAAGATAATTGATCTGAAAGTTGACGGTTTTGGTGGGCTTCTGAGGAAATACTGTAAAGGCCATCAGTGTCTAGGTTTTGAAGAATCTCGCAGAAACTGATTTTTCAGCTTAAACCAATATAATGTTTTTTTTTCTAAACAGTTTCGAACTGACCCAAAGAAATATCAGAATCCAAAAGTGCAGCCATGGCAAACTGATTCCAATGAGACATATCGCCCGAATGAACGCATATTTTCCAAGCTGTCGTCCATCTGAAACTTCCATTCTTCAAATTTTAAAAGAAATTTTTTTTAGAATGATTCGAAATCAAATACTCATAATTGCACTATTTCTAATTCCTGTTTACTGGTGTATAGATGTGATTTTGATCTCTTCAATTGAAGTTAGAAATGATGTTGGAAGTATTGATTGTACTAACAGTAAATTAATGGTAACTCATTGTTCTCTGTTTTTTGAGATAAAAAATGATTCCATTTTTTCAGATCAACAATCAAAATTTTACTCCAATTTGTGAAGTGGGTTATGATAATACCAAAAGCATCTCTTACATCACACTTGCTTACAATGCATCGAATTCAGTTCAGGAGGGAAATACTACGTATCATCTAGACACTAAAGTGACCGTGCCAAATGGAAATAAAACGAAAACGGATGATTATCAGTATACGGGAGTTTTTGTGGTGGATAAGACTGTGCAACCGAATACGGTAGCTGTGGGATATCTCACATTGGAAAAGTTTATACCTGCTACGACTGCCGCACCCCCAACAACCAAACCCAAGAAGCGAGAAGCTGGATTTCCTCAAGAGCAATTAGATGCTGAACCAACTGCACCAGTTTCTAACAAAACAAGCCTTACGGTATTTGAGAAAAAAAAATATATTTTCATTTAAATGATTGATTTTTACAGATCAACTACATCCGCCTGAAATACGAGGAAACCAGCAAACAATCTAACTCGAATGGAGGAGCTGTGGCAGTTGCTATCATTGAAGGAATCGCCTTGATTGCCATTCTGGCTTACATGGGATATAGAACTATGGTGAAACACCGAATGAAGGAATCATCTGTTAATGCGGCCATGTATGGTTTTGATAATAATTCGAGAAGTAAGACTTTCCCAGCAAATTCTTGAATTTTCAATTGATGTTTAGTAACGGTTTCAGATTCAATTCGAATGAATGACATTCCACCACCTAGAGATCCTACATATGCAACACCCCCACCAGCACCATTTTCACAACAGCCACCTGCTCGGAATACGGTAATGACAACTCAAGAGCTAGTCGTTCCACAGACCTCCGCATCGGTTACAGTAAGAAATCCAGAGTTATCTTTGGAAATTTTAAAAAATTTCAGAGACCAACTACCACTTCAAACACCACTAGTAACACTACAAACGGACAATTCAATGATCCATTCGACAGTCTCGATAGCTGGTAACTCTATCAATGTGAATATAAATGAACTTCTCTTTCTATTTGATTACTTTTGTACTTATACTCACCTGTGCATCAACAAAGATCTTGTTAGAAGTCCTTCAATCACATCATCGGATTTATCAGTAATCACAGATTCCGTTTTATGAGAGTCCAGAAGAACGGATGACAACTTTCCGTTGCTCACCAAACACGTCACGATTCCTTTGTTCAGAGACAATGGAACATAGGCGTGTGGAAGACGAGTTGCGCTGACATAGATAACAGAATCACCGCGGATATGTTGCTTGCTCAGCAGGAAAACATGAATATTTTGAGAGTCAAATACAGCAAATGTGTTTTTGTCAATTGTGAAAGTTTCCCACATTGCACCTTTGTACTAAAATTTAGATTAGAAATTTGGAAGAGTATAGCAAAGACTTACGTGGGCACTGGACCCAACTGATGGTAGTTTGTAGACTTCATCGTCTACAGCTCTGAAAGTTTAGGCTTTTTGGTTCAGAAAATTCAAACAACTTTTCATATGAATCTAGTTCTAGATTGACTAAGGTAGCATAAGCTAGGTAGCAACTAGGTTTCAATTCAAAATAGTATATCACAAAAAGGACCGAAAATTTAAAAAAAAAGAACAGAAAATTCTCTTACGAATAAATGAATGCCTCCAATCGATCATCAAAGCAGCAACAAACTACATTTGTTGGATGAGGAAACACGAAACGAACGGGAACAACATGTCGATATTCACTCACAATAGCCCATTCGGATAGGGAGAAGTAGACGATGTAGTTATTCTAAAAGGGTTTATTTCAAGTTTCATGTTTTTCTCTGTCTTTTTTCTTCTTATTTGCTGCTTCTATTTTCAGTTTGTCAGTCTTCTACAGTTTCTGAACTTGCGCGGGAGATATGGTGTTTCTTCTCCTTGTCTGCAAACACGCAATCTCAAAACTTCAGACGGAAATTTTCAGTTGATAAATAATTTTTTGGACAAATTCGGCGCTTTTTTCTCGTTCCCGCTATTCAGCGAAAATTTATACCATTTTTCGATAACACCATCTTATTTACACCTACAAGTTTCGCTTTCACCTTTCCGCCACTACAGCCACTTTTCTTGTCTTTATCTCGTTTTTTTATGATTCGAATTTCTTTCTCTTCCCCACCGAGACTTCACTTACACTTGTCGTGAATATCAGAAAGTTTTCTGTTAGGGCATAAGCGTAGAGTGTCGCATTTCTGTTCGCCTCCGGAAATTCTATCGATTGACTATCCTCAGAGTTCCGAATCTGATGCAAGCGAAGTTTTCCGCCGAAATTAACAGCAGCATAGTAGTGATTTAACTGAATGTTTATGACTGTTGATAAATATTCTACTCGATTTATTGGCTCGGCATTCATAATTGATGCTGAAACAATTTTAATAGTTTCAGATAATTCCCCCATCTTTTTACGTTTTTCCACAGCAACCTGCGAGGACTGAAGATTCTGAGCAGCTTGCATTTGAGCTGGACTTGTGTAATCGTAAAAGAATACAGCATTGTTATTAGCAACTGCAAGATTCACTGGTCCTAATCCCATGACCGTCGGCTCAATGCCAAGTTCCAATGTGGAAGATCCTTTCTTTTCCACTTCTGCAACCACGGTGACTTGGGTCAGATTCGTAAGATAACAGATCGCATTGTTGTAAGATGCAGCAAGCGTTGGCATCTTTGTGACGAACACTGATAGAACCCCGGATTGAGAAGACACAGCAACCAATTGACCATCTTCTGTGACTTCAATTTCACTGAGGTCTGTGAAAACAGTTTATTGAAAAAGAATCTTCAAAACTTTGATTACTTTTGTCAGTTTCAATCTCCGTTAGCATTGTAACAGTTGTAAGCTCATCCAAATCGCGAACTTTGACCCTAAACTTGATAATTCTTTTTTAGTCGTACACAGTTCAGTGTTACATATTGTCTCCAATTGTCAGCAACTTGTTGAATGAAGTGCTCACGGCAAGCGAAGCAAGATATCCTCGATACTCGAGAAAACTGACGAGCTCAGAGCCAATTTCAACTCGATGAGCTGATATGGAAATAATGTATCCGCAGTCGAATCCAATCAGAATGTACCCATCATTGAACCACTTATACGTATGAATAACTCCATATTTTTCTTGGAATTGAAGATTGACTGGCTCGTCAAGGTTAGTCACATTTGTAAGCATCAGAATCCGTTTCCCAATGACAACGCTCACCTAAATTACTCATTCATCAATTACCGATTCTAATTAACAGTTTTATCACCATCGTCTGTCCGCCTCCTCCTTTTCTATTCACGGAACCGTAATCCATCTTTGTGGGCTCCCCGTTTGTCGTCGCTGTACTCACAGTTGTTCCTTCCAAGGTTGTGACTGAAAACTACAAATTCATTTCAATTCCAAAATCGTTTCCACCTGTGATAGAGTTATCGTCACTGCAGGAAATTATATAATCCTCCGGAGTCACTGTAATCTGAGTTACACTTCTCTGATGTTTCCCCATAACTGCTAGCCTCCGAGACGTTCTATGATTATAGACGACAATATTTCCTGCGTTATTTCCCACCACTAGATGGGGACTTGTCGGAGACCAGGCGAGACATGTTGGAAGTTCTCTTGAATGCAGTTTTTACAGTAATCGTTTTATTGAAATACTCACTTTGAAGAAGTTGCACAACTTTCCAGAGTATCAGTGTTTCTAGAATTCACATCCCAAAGGTAGATGGTCCCTGTGTTGGCTACTGCTATCGCCAGAACATCTCCTTCTTTATCCCAAGCAATATCCACGATTCGCCTAATTTAAAACGTCCAGACTGTAGCTAAAATGTCTCAATCACTCACCCATTTGGACTCAAGGCATCAATGATATTTCCCTTCTTATCGTAGTAAATTACAGTGTTGTTTGCGCTAAAAAAATTTTCATGTTGCCTGTAATGTCCCTGAAACTTCATTCAAACCATGCAACTGCCAAGGTATGTCCGTGAGGTCTCCATCGATGAATTATCGGTCCTGATCCGTGCTCTTCTTCTCCTTTTCGATATTGAAGCTGAGGAGAGGTTAGATTTCTAGAATTATTACAACGAGGAAGAGTACACGGAGTTACCTTGAGTGACATAATGAGGAGTCGTGAACTAGGTCGGAAGTCAACAAATCGAGAAGATAATACAAAAGCGGGTTACAAGTACAATTCGACGTATTCTCGCTTGCTGGGAGCATATTATCGCTTGCTGGGAGCACGCAACGCGTTATTCGTATCCATAGCAACCGCGTGGCGGCGCGAGGCACACTCAATTCAGAGAGCGTGGGAACAGGAATTGTTATGGAAATAGGAACAAAGAAAGAAAGAAAGAATGTTCATCAGGGTTTATGTGCAGTATAATCCATGTTAAGGGTGAGATCCAGACGACGAGCTGCGTTTCTTCTTGTATTTCAGATAGGAGAAGAAAGTATGGGTATAAAATTCTTAGTAATCTGACAATTTCAGTATAATTAGAAATCATACGAATGTTTTATGATAGCAATAAGTTAATTTTTATCTCTAGCTTCATGTTCCCGGCTTCTGTAGACATGTTTCTTTCTCTAGTTCAAATCCCCCATTTTTCGCACGCCTATCTTTTTGATCTTAATTTTCCCTTCTTCTTCAAAAATTCTTTTTCAGTCATCCCCGTTCGTCAATCTTCTATCTTCGCCAGCCAGCTTCCTTATTCTCAAGTTAAAACCGGTCTCAGGTTCACACTCCGCAGCAACACTGGCGTCAGATACACAAAATACATCGAATCGCACGACATTTGGTCGAAGGCGGGCACCTGTTTCCATTGATTTAGGTGTTCAGGAGCCGGGCGCCAAGAAAGGGTATGTTTTCATGTAATTTCGTTATTTTCTTCAGATTTGTTTTCATAAGCTCTTAATTTTCATTAAAAAAATTTTCAAGTGTGTCAATTCTAAGACTCGAGATGATTTTCATTCAGTAGTCACGTGGTTTTTATCTATTAATCAATTCATCAACTAGATAAAACTCTAAAATTTATTGTGTTCTAACTGGTAGTCTACTTGCGACCTAACTCGTCTTGCTTTCAACTCGTTCTATATCGTCTTATCGATTTTCGGAATTTTTCGCCAATTGTCATCATCACTCTTCAACTCATTTTGCTCAAAGTTCCAGACGACTAACTTTCACCGAAGCAGTCATGTATTCTCTAAAACCGAAAGTAGTCGATTTCGATACAGTTTGGGTGCAGCTTAGACCGGCAATTATCGACATTCTGAACTTGAAGCCGATGTCCAATGTTCATTGGCACCACAAATTCAGGTTGGTTTTTTTTTTCAAAAATATAAAAACAAAAAGTACATTTCAGTGATGTCTACGACATTTGTGTATCGATTCCAACCCCACTCAGCGAGAGATTATACGGAGAGGTTTGCTAAATGGAGTTCTATGAATTAATCTGAATGAACCGTTTCAGGTGAAAGCGTGCATAATGCAACATGTAAAAGAGAAACGGCAGCAAATAAATGAAGTTGACCCGGATCGGTTGATTCAAGAATACAACAAAATGTGGGAAGTCTTTCACGAAGGTGCGATTTTCATTCATCGCTTGTTTGGGTATGTGTTTCCCCTGATCAAACCTATTAGACTTTTTTTTCTAATTTCAGTTATTTAAACAAACAATTCGTGAAACAAAAGCGATGCACCGATCTGGACAACTTTGCACAGTACGCTGCGTTCCTTCAGATTCCAGATGTTAAGGAAATTGGATGTGTGAGTTTTTTTATTGACCAAAATATTCTATTTCGACAACAAAACAAAAGAATTTCCAGCTCGCTCTTGAAATTTGGAAAGAGGAGCTTGTCAAAGGCATTCTTCCACAACTTGTACAATTCCTTCTAGTATCGATCGACAGTGATCGTAAGGGCAACTTTCCACAAGAAGCAAATGTCGTTTCGAGTGTAATCAATAGCTTTGTCAAAATGGAGGAAACCGATTTTGATGTTGTACCAGAGACAGGAACGAAGCCCAAGGCACGGGAGTCAATCACTGCGTTCTACGTGGAAAGTATCGAGAAACCGTAAGCCTTCAAATCCCTTGGATCTATTAAGCTTCTCTCAATTTTTCAGACTTCTCCTTGACACAGAAACATACTATTCCACACTGGCACAACGAATGCTCTCCGAACTCAGTTGTAGTCAGTACATGGAGCAAGTCATTGTTCTTTTGGAACAGGAAGAATTGCGTGCAAAAAAATATCTTCACGAGTCTTCGGTCTCAAAAATAATTTCTCTGTGTCAAAGAGTCATGATCAAGGCGCACAAAGATAAGCTGCACTCCGTCTGCCATGCTTTGATAACTAACGAGGAGAACAAGGATCTTCGCAACATGTATCGTCTTCTCAAACCCATTCAAGCTGGACTCTCAGTTATGGTCAAAGAATTCGAGGAGTATGTCAAGAAGAAGGGACTCGAGGCGGTTTCTGGGCTTACCGGAGAGAATGTTCCTCAACAGTTCGTCGAGAACGTTTTGAAAGTGTACAATAAGTTCAACGATATGAAAACCGTTGTGTTTATGGAAGATGGCGAGTTTTCAAGTGGACTTGATAAGGCTCTTCAAGGAGTTGTAAATTCGAAGGAGTTTGGACAGACTGTTCCAAAAGCTAGTGAAAGACTTGCTCGATACACCGACAGTTTGTTAAAGAAGTCGACCAAAGGGCTGTCTGAGTCAGATTTGGAAACGAAACTTGGAAACGCAATAGTCATTTTCCGCTACATCGAAGACAAGGATATCTTCCAGAAGTTTTATTCTAAAATGCTTGCCAATCGTCTCATAGCTAGCACTTCAGTTTCAATGGATGCTGAGGAAGTGATGATAAATAAGCTGAAGCAGGCGTGTGGCTACGAATTCACCAGCAAACTCTCTCGCATGTTCACGGATATCGGATTGAGTCAAGAACTGTCCTCCACATTTGACAAACACATTGCGGAAATCAAATCGTCCCGACCTGGAACAAAGTTTGTGCCAACCCAAGCTTTGGTACTTCAAGCTGGAAGCTGGCCACTGAATGCACCTCAGCTGAGCACCAATACAAACCAACAAACCGCTCAAGACGTCGCCGATTTCCATTTGCCATATGTTCTATTGCCTGTTATTCAAGAATTTGAAACGTTCTACACTGGAAAACATAATGGACGCAAACTGACTTGGTTGTATAACATGTCACAAGGAGATGTTCGTCTTACATATCTGGACAAACAGTATGTTGCACAAATGTATGTTTATCAAATGGCAGCAGTTCTTTGCTTTGAACGACGGGATGCGATTTCTGTTAAGGATATTGGAGAAGAGATTGGAGTTTCCGGTGATTATCTTCTCAAAACGCTCCGTACAATTCTCGATGTGTCGATTCTCACCTGTGATGATCAAGCATTGACCACCGATTCTATTGTCCGATTGAACATGTCGATGACCGCAAGACGAATGAAGTTCAGACTTCAAGCTCCACAAGTTAACAAAGTTGTTGAGAAGGAACAGGAATCTGTGGCTAACACAGTAAGTTGCATTATCCTTTCCCTTGTTAGCTGTAGTTTTAAATATACTAGTAGTGAAGAGCTTGCCGGCTGACAACGGTTTATGTTAGTTCCAGGTAACGCAAGACCGAAAATACTACATGGAATGTGCCATAGTCAGAATTATGAAAACTCGGAAAGTGCTGAAACACAATGCTCTTGTCACAGAAGTGAGTTTCTAAAAATGTTTATCATTTCCTATAAATCATTTGATTTTCAGATAATGGACCAGACGAAAGGAAGATTTACTCCAGATGTTCCATTCATCAAGAAGAGTATCGAGGATCTGATAGAAAAGATGTACATCCAGAGAACCGATCAGAATGACGAGTACCAATACCTGGCTTAAAAATTCATTTCATTTTTCATACTATGATCTGAAAAGTTCAATAACTATCGTGTCTCCCTTTTTTGTCATTTCTTCTTTGCTCAAAAGTTAACTCAATTGCATCATTTTGAGTTTTACCCTCTATTTCTATCATTATTTATTAGAAGTCTAACTCTCCTCAAATGTGCCTAAACTATTTTACCTTTCTCACTGTAATAGACAGTTTCTCCCTCTTCATTTCTTCCCAATTCGGCCCACATCTTTTTTGTGCCCCCGGTCCATCTCGAAATGTATATGTACTATATTTGTGTGTGCGTGTTTGCCTGTCTAAATGGTTCTTTGATGAAACTGTGAGAAGGTTTTTCATATCAACTTTCAGAAACTTTGCTAGGATTTTCACAACCACCATCCCCACATATAGACAACGCACAGGTGTATTAGAGAGCGGGAAAAGTGAGAAAAGAGGTGAGAGTGGCGTGTACAGTTCTCGTCCACTCCTCTCTGCTTCGTGTTCATCTGCGTCTCTTCTTCCAGCGTTATCTCTTATCATTTTTGCTTTCCGCTCTCAGCACTTTTCGGTCAAACGACAGGCGGTCGAAACAAGAGGGAAAAAGTGAAAAAGAGAGAGAGAGAGAGAGAGAGAGAAAGAGAGAGAGAGAGAGAGAGAGAGAGAGAGAGAGAGAGAGAGCTATGATGGACAGATTGCCTCGAAAGTACTGACTTTTTTGGGCGCTAGTTTTCGACATACAACGCGTTTTCTTGAATTCCTGTTTTGTTCAAAAAATCTGTGAATTGACATTTTCAGTTGTTTTTTTCCCTGATATTTAGATCAGATACTACCTTTCATATTATTATAATACAAAAAAATCGAAGCCGTGGAAGAGAAACGCCGGTGGCCGCGGCAGAAGGTCCCACAACGACAACTACAGTAACCTTAAAATATTTGCTTTTTTTTTCGTTTTTCACTGATTTTCGTCGATTTTTCTATACTTTTCCGCAAGAAATTCGAAATCGAAAATGCTTGAAAGTGAAGAAATCGACTGAGAATGAATCCGGAAAATATTTTAGGTTACGGTAATTGTCGTTTTGGGACCTTCGGCCATGGCCATCATTTCTCGTCCCCAGCTCAGATTTTTCGTATTAGAAAAAAGAAAATGGTTACGGTAGCTTTCTGAGGCTGAAAATGCAAATTTTATTAACACATTGATTTTTTAAATGGTTGGTATATACTGTAAAAGTCGATTAAATTAGAAAAAATATGAAACCCAAAAAATATTTGAATTTAACCGAATTTTTCTTTTATCCAAATCCGTTTTGAAGTTTCTCGATTCGGTAAATTTTTGGAGCTTCAATAAAACCTGTTACCGTATTTCCGATGCCGTCAACTTTCAGCTCAATTATCTCTATTCCTGTGAAAGATATCAACAATTTGTCAACTGATAAAATATTCATGATATTATGATAAATAGTTTATCAGTTGGCACATTTTTCATATCTCTCATAGGAATCGAGATAATTGAGCTCAAAATTGAAGGTTTGGGTGGGCGTCTATAAATGGATTTCCTCTAATTCTTCAAAGCCAATCTTATAATAATTTCTGAATTTCAAGGATTACAATAAGAAAGAAAGTTTTTTGAAATCGACAAGGTTCTTTAAATTCAGCTAGAGTGTACTGTAGTGATAACGGTATCGTTAAACATCACTAAATTCCTTATCAGAAGAAAGTTCCAGCTCAAAATACGTATTTTTTTCCTATACATTTGAAGTACCAAGTTTCTAGGTCCTTTTCATTTTAGGTAGTAGATTGAAGAACAAATGCTAATAAAAATACACACCCACGTGGTTAGTTCCGGTCCTTTTTAGACCAAAACATGATCATTAATCGATAAAATTGTACATTCAGAGTTTAGAGGGGGGAAATGTTGATTATTGGAATAGGAAAAATAGGGAGAAGAAGGAAAAGAAATAATTCCTGATTGTTTTTCGGTTTTTCAATGGTTCCTGGTCGTCGATCGTTATCCGGGACAAACTGTTCGGGATGGAGAAAATAAAGAATAAGAAGGGTCACTTTCCATTCTTTTCATTTTTCCCTTTCGGCCAATTCTTCACTTTCCTTCTCGTATAGTCTCACAATCCGCGAAATTTCCCTTTCCTCCTATCAGGATTTTCGATTTTATTTTTCGTTTTTTTTTACTTCGGGTAGTTTCTCTTGAAATGGGAATGGGTGGTTTATTGGTTTTCACATTCTCCAGTTCCAAGATCTTTCAAGTTTTCCTTCCAAAACTCAAATCCTTTTCTTTTTGGTTGATTTATTCCCTTTTTCCAATTTTTCAAAGTGCTCGAGAAAGACTTTCCGAAGCTCCAAACCTCATTTTCTATTCAATCGTTGCTCTGGAAACTATTTCCCTTTTCTCACACACACACAAACTTTTTGTGTTCTTTTTTCTTCTTTCTGAAAAGTTTTCTATTTTTCATTTGAATTTTCGGCTCATGTGACGTCTTTTGGCTTTTGGAAAATATACATCTGAATGTTAGCTTGATGAAAAACCTGTTCTGGCTATTCTTAAGATATACCGTAAACACTCTAATAGAACGTCACCCAAGCCATCAACTTTGAGCCCATATATCGCCATTCCTGTAAAAGATACTGAAAAGTAATCAACCGATGAAATGCTTATCATATTATCACCAATATTTGGACAGTTAGTTACTTTCTGATATCTTTCACAGAAACCGAGATATATGGGCTCAAAGTTGGAAGTTAGAAGTGGCGTTCTATCATATTCTTTACTGTAACTACAGTAATACTATTTAGCTACACCTCAAAAACTTTGATTTGGAAAAACTTTTGAAACATAAAAACCCAGAGGTTCCAAAATTCCAGAAATTCAGATATCCATATATACAGAAAAAAAATCAGAAATTCCAAAGAATTCAGGAAAGCAGAGGTTTTGAAAATTCCATAAAATCCCAAAATTGGAAATTTTTGAAATCACGAATTTCAAGATTTTCAAAATTCCAGAAAAAAATCCAAAAATTCGGAAATCCAAAAAATCGGAGACTCTCAAAATCCAAACATCGGAAAATCAGAGACCCCAAAAATTCGAAAAATTCAGAAAATTTCATAAATTAGGAAATTCCAAAACCCGAAAATTTCAAATTCAGAAACATTCAAAAACCCAGAAAAATCCAGAGATTCCAAAACTCCAAAAAATTCAGGAATGCAAGAACTGAGAAAATTATAAAAAAAAGCCGAAATGTTCCGAAATTCCGAAATTCAGAAGTCCAAATAATCTGAAAATTTAGAAACTCCAAAAAATCGTAACTTCCAAAAAACTCAGAAATCCAAAAAATCCATAGATTCCGGAAAATTTCAGAAGAAAAATCAGAGTTTTCAAAAAATCAGAGATTCTAAAAATCCAAAAGTCAGATATTCAAAAATAATGTAAGTTCCAAAATAGTTAACAAATTTCAAAAGAATCTGAAACTCGACGAAATCAAAATAAACGTTTTAAAAACTTTCAATATGTGAAAAGTCAATTTCATCGTTCAAAAAAAAGTTTCAAGTCTCTAATCTCCATGCATCCCTTTCTTGAATCTTACGATTCCTCTTTTTCATCCATTTTCCTAATATCATTTGAACCCATTTTCCGTATTCTCCATTTCATTCAATACTTCATTCACCTGTTCGTTTTCCATGTCACCATCCAACTTCGAATGTATCATCTCTCTCCTCCTCTCTCATTCACTTTTTCTCTCACTTTTTCCTATTCTCCACCATTTTTCAAAAACCTGGTCTCCAAATGTTTCTTCTTCTTCCTCTTTTTCCACCAAGTCATTTCCCCCATTTATTTTAACCATACTGTGCTTATGTGCTGCTGCATGTTGTTCATTCATAAATTAAACATTTTCTGTCAGTTTCGAAACCATCTGTTTTCTGTGTTTGTCACCGCTCTCAATGATATATTGTCATCATCATTCGATGAACTCCCGCGCTTTCCTTTTTGCAAAAAAGTTTTGAAAATGTTATAGATGAGAGATGAAAATTGTTCTTTTTATGATCCGAGAATAATTCTACTTTGGTTTTCATGACAAGCCGGTGTTCGGTGTTTTCCAGATGTGTCCGAAAAGACTTTTTCGAGAAACTGAATCCGGAATACGGAATTCCGGAATTCCGGTCACATCCCTGTTTTTTTTCTCTCTAGAATATATGAGTCATAGTAGCAGGTTTCATGTTAAGAATCTATAATCAAAAGATACTGTATTTATAGGGGAACGAAGGTTCAAAACGAAATACCGTAAAACCTGTAATAGAAGGGTCCTCTAACTTTTAATTTTAAGATTTTTTTCTCGGTTCTTGTCAAAGATATGAAATAGATGTCAACTGATAAAATGTTTGTCATGATATCAGCAACATTTTATCAGTTGTCAGATTTTTTATATCTCTGATAGGAATCGAGATAATTGTGCTCAAAGTGCAAGTATAAGGTGGTTTTCTATTACAGTGTTTACGGTATCCCATCGTTCAGAGGCTTCAGCTTGCACTACCGTAGCTCAGCTGATTTGAAATACTTCATTCTAATTTTTGAGGCATTTTCTAAATTTCGACTAGGTTTCAATTCTTTTCAACGTTCTTATGTCGGCTTTCCCCCACCAGAAGCACGCCCGTTTCTACTCATCCGCCGTTCAGCCGCCAATCGTCCGCTCAGGATTAGAGAGCGGTTTCTGATGAAAATTCGAAAACTATATTGCTAGAATTTGATTTTTTTTAAATTAGTTATTCAGACAACAATTTCCAGAAGTCAGATTTCCACGGTTTTTGAGAGCACACTTCAACGGTGGACCCACAAGTTAAACTCATCGAGGGGCTGATGTGAACGGAATATCGAGAAAATTATTTTTTCATGCCCTCCACCTTTAAGAGTTGAAGCTAATAGGTTCAGAAACTACGATAACAGCGGGACCAGGCTAGAGTCTCAGTACCCACATAACTCATATTCTTTAATTCTAAGAAATCTGCA